TGAAGAGATGTCAGACGCAGAGAAAAAGGTGATCCAGGAGACATGGAACAGAGTGTATGCAAACTGCGAGGACGTTGGGGTCTCCATACTGATCAGGTAATTAAAATGGCACATGAGAAGCCAGAAATTAAGGTAACATTCATCAAAGGTTGGATGATAGCAACTGTTTTCCTCAATGCATTTGTTGTGATTTTGGAATGATTTCACTGCATTTTTGATTTCAGAAGGCAAGAGGAGGAGATGGGGGGAATGCCTTGGTTATTGCAGTTAATGAGAATCGATATTTCAGCTGGAACAGTCATCTTATCTGATGTATATGAACTGAGAGGTTAGAAAGAAGGGATCATTGTATGGGATGCATCTCAGGGGTTCCAACGTTGCTCATTACTGATGGAATTATATATACACCAGATTCCTGTGTGAAATAATGCAACTTATGAGCCAAGATAAATCCCAAACAGGGCTGCCGAAGCTTGTCAGTACCATCTGCTCATCAGCTGGGTTGCAGTGTCAATATAAAAGATAATGCTGAAGTTGTCTCCTGGGCTGGCATGAAGGTTGCCAGCTGGGGGATGGAGTGAGGCAGACACGGACAGGTAAATGAGCACTGGATACAAGGTGGCTTTACTGTATTGGGAATATCATGGTGAAATTACCTTGAAGTAATGGCTCAATAAAAATCTCTAGAAAAACAGATAGCAGGTACAACAAAAAAGCAGGAAGCAGCCTCACAGTTTTCATTGATGTGGGTTTTTATCAATGTGATCTCCAAACCATTAAGGACATGCCCTTGTCCTTGGGTTACCTTAATCCTAGTCCCCCTAACTGTAAACAATCCTCTTTGGTTTTCTTGTGGAATGTGGCCTTCAACCTGCTAGAATGTCCCTGAATGTCATTTCACTTTCTGACTTTGTTTTGCATTTCTGAAACTCCCAAGGATTCTCTTGGACTTGGCATACATGCAAGGGGCTGGCCCTTTTTTTTGCTGGTATAAAAAGATCAATACAGGTGAGAAGAAAATGGGACCTGATGGTCAGAGATGGGAGACAAGAGCAACAAGCCACAGGACCTGGTCAGCTCTGATTAAAGTTTAGCACCTTGGGCTTGGATTTAAAGCTCCAGTCCCAAACCTCATTGGGGTACTTGTCTTTTCCTCACTACTAGGAATGACTGGAGGACAAAGGGCTAGCCATCTTTTCCCACACTCTTGGCCCAATTTAATTCAGGGTCTCCAAGAACTGCTTTTAACTTTATACACACACATATTAGGAAACCTAAGTCACAGATCCCATATCATGTGTAGGTTGAAATGAAATGTTAAGTAAACTTGAACTTAGAGATAGCCAATACTCCACACCTATTTATCAAACTGATTCTTCTTAACACAATTGCATTTTGAGCTAGATGAAAACTTGCATCACTTTGTAGTATTTCCTTAAAGAGAAAGGAGTGAGTTTAGGAACTTACTGGGGTTCTGAGAAACAAATAGAGGAACCTCAAAATCCAGGTGTAGACTTCCCTTTATTAATGAAAAAATAGGACAGGATTTTGCTGTGATATCAGTATGCTCAAAAAAGTAGTCATGATGATTTCTCAGCTTTCTATTTCTTAGAACTTTTCCATCAGAATTTTTCTGTGGGAATCTGGGAGCTGTTTGAACAGTCCTTTCCTAAAATGCTGCAGATTTTCACAAGTTTTACTGAGACGTAGAGAATATAAACCCAATTGACCCATGGGATAAAAGCAGACATGCAGCCCACATTTTTATTTACACTTGCAGGCAGGCTGTTTGAACAAAAATATTTGTTTCATTTTGTCTTCTCTGAGCTCCCTGGAAATTTGGGGAGCTTGTGTTTGGGATACAAGATACACTTTATAGTAAAACATATTCTTAAAAAATTGTAATAAAGGATTATCCCTTGTCCCAGAATATCATGGATCTACAGAATATAATGAGTTTCAAAGCTCCTGTGGAGTTGCTAATGTTTGGAATATTAGCCAAAGGAGCTACATTTAGGAACACTTATGACAATGCATCCTTCCAACTCCAAAGCCATCCTCCATCACTCAGAACTCACATTCAAGCATTTGATCTGAGCTCTTGAAAATGAACAATGTAATCATATTCCCAGAGAAGTTTCCCTTTAATTCACAGAAAACTATTTCTAAGTGGGTAGAAAACTGCTGTGATCTTTCTAGATGTAGGGCAGCTAGACAGGATAAATGATCCATTAGGACTCCTCTGTCACTACAGTAATTTTAACTCCTAGTCCCCTCTCAAGCAGACTAGAGTGGACTCTTCTGTCACTATAGTGACACTAATTCTCAGTCCCCTCCCTTGTAAGGGATCCTCAGATTTTATTTGATTTCCATTTATTTCTCTTCACTGGAAAGTGTAAAACCACCAGTTTGCCTCAGCTCAGTGAATTAGAATATGTTAATTCTTTGCCTGTATTGCTAAGAGCCTGGTGTGAATGGTTAACAGCTAGAGGTAATCAGAAAAACATTTCAGCACACTTGGGCACATCCAGCAGAGACTCATCTACAGAGCTCTAAACCTTACATTTTTGGTGAGCTTTTTGTGCTAACAATTTCCTTACTATCCAACCAATTGTGGGAAAAGCTGTAAGAGAGGAGGGGTGTTCAGAAACAGTTTTTAGTCCTGGAATATTCAGTAGCCACAGGGCAAATTTATAATAATAAGGCAATCCAACCACAAATAGTTTGGGGTAATCACTCTTCAGTTATGTAGACTGATTGCTTGGTCATTCACCATCTTATTGTCATCTTGAGATATAGTAAGGAACACACAAACTTGACCACTTCTTTGTCATGCAAAAATGCTTATGAAAAATTGCTCAGTTGTGTCATAAAGAAACATCTTTTACAGTTTAAAGTCCCAGGCTGCTGACTCACTGCATCAGGTTTCCATTCTTATGAAATATAAAACACACCCAGAGATCAGGAAGGTGGAGTAAATATGAGCCATTTAATGCAAGCAGTTATATCTCATGGTATCAAAAAATCAGACAAGTTAGTTTTTTATCTTACACAACCATTTGCTTCTTGGGTCATAAAAGGGTATAACAAGTAACAACACACATAATTCCATGCTGCTAAACTGGGGCAAAATAATGCAGACCTAGTGACTCCATCTCCAAATTCCAAGATTCTAGATTACAGTACTTTCAAGCAGCTGTTTTTCAATTTGCATGAAGGCAGATTCAGAATATGTCAAACAACAGCAAAAGACAGCTGGATATTGCGATATGACAGGCTGACATAAAATGCAGATACAAGAGTGACAAACCAAAAAACAAAACAAAAGGAATGTCCTTTACTGAGGAGGTCTTGTAGTTAGCAGTCTTGTGTAAACTGAAGTGTCTGCTCATAGTAAAGAAGTCAGTTGAGTTGTTTGCACGTACAGTAAGAGGACGTACAAGTGGTCACTCTATACAGGACACTCATTTATTTCAGCTTAAAGCTTCTTAAGAAAGAGTGGTAGAGGGAGCACAAGGGTGGTGTGAACTGCATCCTTTTATTTTTCACTGTTTTCTTTTCTTTTTTGCTTTCTCTTAGATACTTAGAGAAAACCCAAATTTTAAATATCCTTTCTCTTTCTGAATTACTTCTGCGTATGCAGGGGTCTTCTCAGTCCCCTGAAAAAGCATATACACCAATTAAATCATCACAGACACATTACAGAGTGGGTTGCTGCATGCATGTTGAGATGTTCCATGTGCAAATGGATGTGTCAGCTTAGTTTCCATTCTATTTTGCTGCTTTGCTTGAGAGCATGAGCACATAAATAATTTGAGAAGGACACAAGAGCAAAGTCAGATCTTCAAGCACATGCACCTCATTCGCCCTGGAAAGTGCCAGTGAACATTATTGTTTTCTTTGTTGATGATAAATGTTAGGGTCTACCCATATATGACCCAATCTAACTCTAGTTACACATGATTAGTTCAGTATCACTGTGCATCACAATAAACATTTCATTGAGAATAAGATAGTGTTGATGGACATCTGCTCTTGGAAACACATTGGGCTTCAATTTTTTCCTCTGTCCATCTAGCTTGTCTAGATATTTCACACCCAGCTTCCAGTTATTCCCCTACTTTTCAGTAAAGTAAACTGGAAACTGAACCTGGCAGATTATTGAGGCATCCTTGCCTATCTGCCACTTTAACACAATGACCACTGGATTAATAGTGGCTGGACGAATAACAGTGCAGAGTTATGAAGAACTGGCATTTAATTTATTAGGTATATGTATAACATTACTGTAGTGTCATAACCCTGATAAGGTCATTGGGAAATGGCACAGGGAGGAACAATGATAGAATAACTCAAGAATGCACAATGAAGCTGAGAATCAGAAATGCTGCAGCCTACCTTGTTTCTTCTAGCATTCAAGCTATGTTGAAATTAATTTCCAAGCAGGGTTCCACAGCAGGAAGATGCTGTTTGCAACATTGCTTGCCAGATTTAATGGGGAAAGGAAAGGAAAGAAGAAATTGAGTCAGGGTATAATAAAATCTGCACTTAGTATAGATTTCTAAAATAACAGATTAATGTGGGGGGGGGGGTAATTCATTGCCCTCCCTCTCCTAACCCAAGAAAAATACTTAAAGGCAGCAGTAATATTATTTATTGGTCAATGTGCCAACAGGAAAACAAGTGAGGAAAATAACCCAGAAGTAAAGTCTCCTGTTTCTAGAAAAATGGTGGCAGCAATACCTAGGAGCAAAAAGGGTCAATGTGAGAGAGCAGGTATATGTCTCAACCTTCAGAATAGTTCCATGTTCAGTTGCATTTGATTTTAACCACTACTCTTCAGGCCTCACAGGATTTTTGTGAGATTAAAATATGGCAAGGTTTGTAATATTCTTTTGACACTGAAAAATGCTTAGCTAAAATTTATGTTTCTCCTCAACTGTGAGAAACCAACACTCAAATTCCAAAGATAGTTGTTTCAAAGTAATCTTTGAAACAAAGCCAGCATGGCGCAGTGGTTTGAGTACTGGATTATGATTCTGGAGACCAGGGTTCAAATCTCAGCTTGGCCACTGGGTGACCTTGGGTAAGTGACACTCTCCCAGCCTCAGAGAATGGCAATGACAAACCCTTTCTGAAGAAACTTGCCAAGAAACCCCTGTAATAGGTTCACCTTAGGGCTACCATAAGTCAGAAATGATTTGAAGGCACACAGTAACAAGACCAACAAAATCCTAAATACCCTAAAGGCACCAGATCCCATCTGATCTTGGAAGCTAAACAAGGTCAGTTCTGGTTATGCCTGGATGGGAAACTGCCAACAAATACCAGATGCTATAGACTATATTTCAGAGGAACTGGCAAAACCATCTCTGAGTATTTCTTGCCTAAGAAAACCCATGAAATTCATGGGATTGTCATAAATTGACAGGCAACTTGAAGGCACATATGCACACATACAATCTGCAGCAATAAGGAATTGCATAAGGACAAAATTATTTTAAAAGTGAAGGCTATGTGTGACTTGCAACTAAAGTAGCCCATTATTAATCACAAGATGACTTTCTTGAGGCAGCTTATGAATTCAAACCACCTGGATCCAGAGGACAGCACAATCTAAGAGGTCACGTGTCTTCAAAAGTTATGACTCTTGAACATTGGTGTTACACATTCTGAACAAGACACACTATTATAAAGTTGGGTTGTGCATGAATATATGTTACATCGTGACTCTAAAGCATCTTTCTGATGTTGGCAGTAGGGAGGAGAAACTGAGAGAAGCACAATTGCCTTAGTTTATCAAATACTGCAGAGCACTACCTGATGTTCAACAGACAAGATCAGATCTATCAAAGCAGAATATAGATTTAGTTATCCACTGCAGAAGGCAGGGATTCCAAATGCAGTTCTTGAAATGTCCGCAAACAATTGAAAAACAACTTGAGATATATATTGAGCTGGCCCTGCTGTGTGCACTAGAGTGAACCAACTGGACTCAGGCAGCTAGGGGTGTGTGTGTGTGTGTGTGTGAAAGAGAGAGAGAAGAGAGGGAGAGAGAGAGAGAGAGAATGTCAGGTACCAGGTATCCCAAGATGCATCAAGGCTTTTAAAAGTATTAGTCATGGTAGAGGTAGTTCACCCATTGTGCTCTACTTCAGGGCAATTATAAGCTTATACATTGTTTTGGCATACAACAGTCCTATTGCTTTCACCATGTCTTCAGGGGAATCCTTTGCTCTTTTTCAATGGTACTAATAAAGTAATACTTGCAAAAATATAAATTTATATATTCAAACTGATCAATCTTAGCTAAAGCCTGAAAATGACTACAAACCCTCGGAAGATTACAGATGCGTATAGTTACTTAAAACACACACACATCACAAAGTCTATGGAAAGAGCACATCTGGTAACATAAATAAATAATCTTGGTTTTTTTGTTATTTTAAAAAAGACAAAGATCTTTCAAGATGGAATAGTTTTTCTTCATGGAAGAAAACACTATGTCAAGAAGGTTCAGCATGTAATCTGCTTCAGATGCAGAGAAGGGATAGAAACAATTCTCTATAAATAATTGGTGTGTTTTTTAAAAAAATTAAACAATAAAAATAAATGTCTTGTTAACCAATAATCCCTGAGATGTTTTATAACTAACAATAATATCCCAAGAGGATAAATAACTGAAAAACATCTCTCTCACACACCCTACTCTAATTGATTAATTTATATTTTTCTAGTAGTTTCTGACTTCTCTGACTGCCTTGGAATGCTCCTGTCTTATCAGCAAACCAGTTCTCTCCAGGACTCCAAGAGGACTAGCCTGCTAGCACATTGGCACTGAAAGTTAAGCCCTTTGTAGGTGTGCTTTTCGATTTAGGCACTTTCTAGAGAAGGGATACCAAGGACTTGCACAATAGCTCTACTTATTGCTATCTTCACATTCTGGGTGAATGATGCAGCCTTTCATATCTGTGCCGGTTTCCTACATGAGGTGAGGTAGAAGCCTACATGCCTAACATACAAAGAGCAATGAGGATAATAGGTGGTGAAGTAAATGCACTGATGCCACCACTAATATATGAAAAGACCTGCATAGAGTCGCTCTCACTCTTTGTATTCTTGATAATCTTCTGCAGCTCATATACGTTGCAATAATTTGAGTAACAAAAGCTTGCAGGGCAATCTTAAGAAATTATAGGAAATGAGTTTACTAGGAGATCTTTGTACAGGATTTTCATACCATAATAGTATTCTTATCTATATAATTAAAAGGTTAGCATATGAATCTTAAATTACAAGTTAAATGAGTAATACATGAAATTAACAATTATGATGTATATTTGGGCCTGTGTAAATATAGAATAAATTATATACACACAGGATGAACACTATGGTTTCTTAGTGCAGCATTGAGAAGATAAGTTTAAAAAAAAAAAACCTTTCACAAGACCTACACAATTATCAAGTTTCCAATGGTCAGGCTGGCTATGGGATTCTGGGAGTTGTACTTGAAAAATGTAGCTTTCCCAAACAATGGTTTCATACTACCTTTGCAGTGAAACAATTTTTTTTTAATTCAAAGACCGAATCATGTCTACAATATTCACCCCAAAGTCAAACCATTCTCTGAGGTATTAAAGGAGAGTAGAAGCAGTAGCTTATGTCTGACAGGTGGATAAATGTCCTCCCTTATTGCTTGTGTCCCCTGTATCCACTGGGGCAAAAGCAAAACCAGTACAGATGTGCACACTGCAAATGTACTCCAGAGAACTAAAGAAAAAAATGTTTTATAGACACTTCCCACCGATGCACAGCACAAGATAAAATCATTGCCAAGCTGGGCTACTGTGTATTTTGACTGTATGCTCATTATCAACCTTCTGGGATGGGTCCTATCAAAGCACACAAGGTTTACCTAAACATAACCATTTATCCTGGGTTGCTAAATCCACCAATGTTGCACCAACATTTGCAATGTTTCCTTCTTTGCTTCAAAAGTCATCATTTCACACAAAATCAGCCCTTACAATCGAACACTTTGCTTATTTCTTCAGGTCTGCTCTTTCAGACCATTCTTTCTTCAAGTTGCTGTTTCTTCAGCATCATTTTTTTAAAATCTAAAAGGGACTTTTTCACCATGCAACCTACCTCACCAAGGATCCTGTTGTGAATGCAATGACTTCCCTGTTTGCTGTGTTAGCCTATTAGACTTGGCTATGTACCAACATGACTGATGGCACATTAGACTCATGCTATACTGTCCTCTGTGATGGCTCCATCTTTGCTAGTGCTGCATAGCTAGACTTTTGCCCTAATCTGCATGACAAAAGAATATGACTGGCATGTGCATTCAGAGTAATATCTCAATCCACATCTCACTGGATGTAGTGCAGTAACATATAAAGCCCTTCTTTTGCATATTAAATTCAATTACAAGTTGACTGTCCTTTATCCAGAATTTTGAAATGTGAAATATTCAAAAATCCAAAATTGTCCACATGGGTAGCTAAGATAGTGACATATTTGCCTTCTGGTGGTTTGATGTACACAAACTTTGTTTCATGCATAAAATTATTAAAATATTACTGTCAGGCTAAGTATATATACAGTGTATCCAAAATATAATGCATTGCACACCCAGACTTCAGTCTCCAAAATATCTCATTATGTATATGCAAATATTCCAAAATCTGAAAAATTTCAAAATCTAAGACACTTCTGGTCTCAAACATTTTGGGTAAAGGAGACTCAACCTGTAATATTAAATTGCAAAAGAGCAATGTAGTTCAATTTTTTAAAGAATATTATTATTTATCAGAACACTTTCATATATATCACAGTATCCACCCTCTTCTACCACTGGCACCCTTAACTTTCCTGGTAGACAAAGGTTTCTAAGTGCAGCTCAATTTCCTGACAAAACAAACTTGACACTTTATACATATGTAGCCAATCTAACAGGGCTATTTTAAAAAGATATCCAGAACTGGAGCCAAGAAATTACAGACTTATCCCAGATAAAATGGTAGAAAGTGTTATTAAAGCTAGAATAAGTTCACAGGTGGGAGAACAAGCTGGGAATCAGATCCTGGTCTCTAGAGTCGCAGGCCAATGCTCAAACCACTACACCAAAATTAGACAGATTCATGGGGATGTCCCTTACGGCTTCCACTTGCTATCCAACATAGAATCATAGAGTTGGAAGAGCCCTCAAGGGCCATCGAGTCCAACCCCCTTCCATGCAGGAACTCAAAATCAAAGCACCCCCCCCCCAAAAGATGGCCATCCAGCCTCTGTTTAAAGACCTCCAAAGAAGGGGACTCCACCACTCTCCAAGGGAGGGTGTTTCACTGTCAAAAAGCTCTTACTGTCAGGAAGTTCCATTTATTTATTTCATTTATATGCCACCTTTCTCCCTGGGGGGGGCCAAGGCGGCTCACAGATAAAACATTTAAAATCCCAATAAAATTCAAAATAATTAAAACATCACATCCAATATAAAGTCATATAAAATATACAAAAGTTAGAAACAAACTAAAAACCCACCTGCTCCATAAAAACTACCCTGCTATGTATCATATACAAATGCCTGCCTGCATAAGAATGTTTTTACTTGCCGATGAAAGGCCAGCAGAGAGGGGGCCAGCCTAGCCTCCTGAGGAAGGGCATTCCAGAGGTTGGGAGCAGCCACCGAGAAGGCTCTCTCTCATGTCCTCACCAGGCGAGCCTGTGATCTTGGTGGGACTGAGAGAAAGCCTTTTCCTGCAAATCTTAGGGCTTTCACAGGTTCATATGGGGAGGGTTGCAGGATCCTAATGTTTAGGTGGAATATCTTTTCCTGTAGTTTGCATCCATTACTTCATGTCCTATTCTCTGGAGCAACAGAAAACAAGCTCGCTCCATCTTCAACATGACATCCTTTCAAATATTTAAACAGGGCTGTCTTATTACCTCTTAACTTTCTCTTCTCCAGGCGAAACATACCCAACTCCCTAAGTCTCTCCTCATAAGGCATGGTTTCCAGACCATTCACCATTTTGGTTGCTCTTCTCTGGACACATTCCAGCTTGT